TTTTTCATAAAAAATAATAATAATATTTTATAATCCATTTGTGTCTTTTCTATTTAAAAAAAAAAAAAATCTAAAAATATAACCGTAAATTAACATATCTACAGCAGAAGCTGATAATCAGAAGCAAGGCGTGAGCAGCTTCTCAGAATCAGCTTTTTTGAGTTAAAATAAGCTGTTAGAATCAGAAGCTGTTTGAAATAAGTTTAACCAAACAGTCCAAAATAACTTTTTCAAAGCTAAAAGTCATAAATTGACTCTGAAAAGCTGAAACAAACACCCCCTTCGTATTTATAAATGTTTTCATAGTTTAATGATGTAAAAAGTTTTAATAGCATCTGCCTTAAAGATACATATTAACAATTTGAAAACAAATACAAAATATCTCGCATTCTTCAATGTTTTTATACGTATAGCAAGACCATTAAAGGAAAGAAATTTAATAATATGGTAATGAATTTCAATAACATGGTCGTCATTAATCTCTTAACAAGTTTCTTTTTTTAATTTTTTTAATCTTTTTTATTTATAATATTTCGGAGTGTATATGGTTGGATTTATAAGTGAACCAAAAACATAAAAACCTATACAGGAATTTAGTAACTAAATTTATCTGTGTAAATTGTGAAATTGAACTTATGAATAGAATCATAATCAATATTTTTTGATTATTTAAAATCAAAACCAAATTGATTTTCAATAGAGAATATCAAATCGTATAATTTGAATCAATTTATTGGTCTCTTTTTTCTGGTTTTTTTTGTGTGCAACCTATTGAGAGGCTATTGTTTTGTTTGTTTAAATACAAAAGGGGCCAAACTAATCAGACAAATGGAGGGCAAACATGAAAGAAGCAAAATTAGCTTCCGTTTGGGGAGTGTGTTGGCTTTTTGACTTTTTGACTTTTTTGGTTATTTTAGCATAAGCTAAAAAGCTTGGTTTGGGAAGCGCTTTTTGGTTTTTTTGGTTTTTTTGACTTTTTTGGCTTTTTGACTTTTTTTGTGAGAGAAGAGTGTAATGATTATGGGTTGGATGTGATGTTTTGTTTTTTTTGACTAAAATAGCCTATTTATTTTGTCTTTTGTGACTAAAATAGCCAAAAAAACTCACTTTAGTTCTTCCCAAACGGACCCTAATATTCCAAATGCCTTAAATGGGACTAGGACTGAGGTGATCTAAATGCATGTGATTGCACACAAGAGTTTCTATTTTCTAATAACACCATTGCACTCAATTATGACATACAAGTGTTTTTGTTTGGATCCTCTAATTTTTATTGATTTACACCCACCCAATATATTGATATTGATACATGTGGAAGCCACTCATGCACTCCCAAAATAGAAGACATCCTACCTAACAAATAAAAAAATTATTTACTGCTCTTGTCCCAACAATTTTAAGAATGAATTACAAATTCATGCGGGTTTATGATGCAAAGAAAAATTTGAAAAAAAAAAAAAAAAAAAAAAAACAAAGAAAAATAATAACAATACAAAAAATTAATTGACTGAAATTCTAAATTTAATATTTTTTTCAAATTTTAATGGCTTAAAATAAAAGAATTTAGCTAAAATTCTAACTCAACGGATTTGATTGACGTTCTAGATCGAGTAATTAATTTTTTTCACAAATAGTAAAATGGCTTAAATAGAAATTTTGTGTTAATTGGGCTATTTCAGATTGTATATGGGTCATTTAGGATGATCTGACAATCTTGAAATTTTTTTAAGACCTCCTTTCAAGGTTAGCTAATAAATAAACCAAAAAAAAAAAACTCTTAACTTTCTCATAGGCTTTTTTTTTTTTTTTTTATGATTTTTTAAAGTGGCTAAAGTTAATTTTTTTGACAGAAAATGGTTATGCCCAAATAACTTAAAGCTCTTCTTTTTTCTTTTTTCTTTTTAAAAAATATTTTTAAATAGTAAGCTAACTTTTGGAGATTGCCAAAAGAAGTGTAAAACCAGTATTATGTGTAAAAAACTCACATGAATTTGAGTCTTCTGAACTGTTGCCCAGGAGGAACAATTAATAATAATTTACCATAATAACGGACCTAATAGCAAAGCTAATAATGGTTAGGAAAACAACTCTGTACCAAATAAATAAACAACTCTATGAGCATCATGTGAAATGACATAAAACTCATTTCTTTAATAAAGCCTTGTTTGGGATGTAAAGTTGGTTTTTTTGACTACTTTAACTTGGGGTTAAAAAAGTATCATTTGCGATAAATTTTTTGAATTTTTTTATTTTATTTTTGTAAAAGAAAAAATAAAATGATTATGATTTGAATATAATATTTTATCTTATTGATATTTTTATCTATTTTATTTTTTATAACTATTTTAACTAAAAATTCTCAAACTTTTTCATGCCAAACGAGCACTAAGTCTTCACACTCTCACTATGCGTAAGTATTCTTTATTCCTATAATGATAGATATGCTCTTCTTTCTACAATTGTCACCACATTTTGAAAGGTTCGTGGCCTGTGGACACCTCTACAGTACATGTCACACTTCATTCATGTCATAAACAACATAGATAAGGACAAGTGATAATTTTGATATCAATAAAGATTGGGAACTTGAATTGAGATTGTCCGAAAAATCTGAATTTGTGTGTTGGTTAACCAATCGGACGACTGATAAAACATTTGTCTACTGTCAGTAGCGGAGTCAGAAAATTAATTTAGAGGAGATACTTACTAATTATAATAATTTTTACAAAAATATTTCATGTAAATTTTTTATGATTGATTTCAGGAAGCATCAAAAAAAAATTATTTGTAACTAGTGTATCATGGATAATACAAAAAAAATATGGATAGAAGCCTTAAAATAAATTATATAATGATAAATTATTTTTTGATACAAAATTTGATTAAAAATTC